GCTCTTGGATGCCTACGATTCACTAGGATTTTAACTTTTTTTAATAAACATGGATGGTTTTTATTAAAATTTCAGTTGAATATGCTTCTTAAATTAATGCAATGATTTGTCTTTATTTGTTTATTCCCTCCAGTATATAAAATATCATACAAAACTTATTTTATATTGAAATTATCTGGTAGGCACATAATTAGATGAACTATAACTTGGAACCTTTCTTGGGACGCTTGGAACTATGAAATCATGCATTTCTTTAATATTTTAATAAATTATTAAGAAACAAGTGTTTTTTAGTCTAATAAGAAACTAATTCTATATAGTTAAATAGTAAGATATATGATATATGAGATAAATAATATAAAAATATAACTTCAAAAGTCTTTAACTTGACTCATAAAATAATTAACTAGAACATAAGCGGGGTTTCCACATGCAAGGATTACCAGCGCAAGTGTTCGCCAGTTTATTGGCGCCACAATTAAATGGCGCCATTACCCGTTTCTACAGGTCTATAGTAAATTTAAAACTGGCATGTCATTACGTTCAGTTTTATGAGATTTTAACACCTTGTTATGCTCTAGGGTGTAAGCATTCATAATACTTGGAATTTTGGCCTTTGCGGAATTTACATCAAAGTTGCTGAGAGAATCAGACATGACACCAACAATTCTCCTTAAGGCTTCATCTCTTTTATTTCGGTCCTTATAATTATATTTATTGTTCCACAAGCAAGGAGTAGGCTTCCAAGAACTTTATTATTATTTCATTAGACCACTTTTTTGAAACAAACGACGTTTTTACGACTGGAGATGCTTGCTGTATTGTTTACACACAAAACTGGCGCCAAAAAGTACAGGAGCGTTGAACTTTATTGGCACATGAATTAGTGCCACCACTAAACTTGCGCCAGTCGATTTTACAGGTTTCCACATACAATAAAACTGGCGCCAGTTGAATGGCGCCAGTAATCCTTGCATGTCTTTGTTGCATGTGGAAACCTCCCTTAATATATAAAAATACTAACTCAACGTTGACGACGTTGACAGCTCTTACCGGATGTATTTTTTCTGTTCAATTTTTGGCGTCACAATTTTCAAATTTGAAAATTAATTAAGCTGAAAAATCTTTTATTTACAAGAAAAAATATATTAATAAGTACAAATTAGGATAAAAAGCATTTATTACTTAGAACAACTATATATTACAATACTTTTGTCTTCTGAAACTGATAAAATTTTCAAATTATCCGGACTGAATTTTACACCTCAAACCGGTTTTACCGGATCCACACATTTACCCAAAAATATTAATTTCTTTTGACGAAAAACAGAAAAACATCATAAATCAACCATCACCAAAAGTGGAGGGGGTGGTCGCACTATAAAAAAATTTTGATATCACAGATGGATATAATAATATCCTGATAAAATATCGATATTTCGATATTATTTCTACATCCCTATACCCACTATACCGAATAGAAGTGGACAACTGTCCGAATGTGTCCGAATCTCGGGGTTTTTCTTTGCCCAAGAATTACACTTTGGCACACAGCAATAATCTGTTCTGTGGCAATAATGATTCATATTTACAACGAAAAGCACAACATAAAACACAAAGACTAAACGGGAAATAAGAGTCGTCAGCTTCGATTTCCAAACCTAAACCATGAACAATGCAATGCAAGATGCAAATCTAATGCAAATCAATAAAAGGAATGGCCCTGTATAATCAGCGCCTTCTATTAAAAGATCAGTCTACGGGCAAGATTTATGACGTCACGCTAGTTAGATATAACGGATTAATAAATATGTTGTAGAATACATGGAAAACATAATTATTCCTCAGATTTTTGGTTTGTATTTTAAAAATGATATAGTTTACATGAAATATATATAATATACAGTTAATAACTACAACATATATACCTATTTATAGTAATAAATACTTTGGCAAATAAACTATGAACCATACAAATGCAGCAAATGTTTTACAATGTACAAATAATGTATAGGTACATAAGATAATGGGTAAAATGTAAATATATTTTAAATTTTGGGGGTTTGAAATCGATCTATTTTAACAAAAACATTCCATATCTACTAGTGATGTATTATTATTTGCATTCACAAAATTTATATGTATATTTTGCAAGTCATCAATGTTGGAAAAATTATATTTACAAATAATACAATATTATCTAAAAAAGGCGTCAGCGATGGCTATGAAATGAAGATCGCTGGCATTTTATATGTAACATTATTCTAAAAATTTTTGATTTTCTTGGGATTTTTAGGTTTGGGAAAAAAACGTTGATTTGTTATTATTTTTATTTGGTTTAAAAAACGTTTCGGTTAACTATAGCCTTCACAGTGTTGTGTCATATGAGAAAAATAGTGTCGAATATAATCCAAAAAATTACATATACAATATAATTCACACCTCATAATGTTTACTGCAATTAATAAACTAATATAAACTTATCAAAAGAGGACCACATATTTTTTAAAAATATTATTCTTAACACTAAAATTATCTAAATTGACTATGGAGTACGCAGTAAACATAATGTGCGTGGTTTGAATATTTTATATGTAATTTTTTGGATTATATTCGACACTATTTTTTTCATATGACACAACACTGATGAAGGCTATAATGTTAGCCGAAACGTTTTTTTTTAAACCAAATAAAAATAATGAAAAACCAAATGAAAACTTAATCAAATTTAGAATATTTAGAAACAAGGTTCAAGAATATCAAATTTTCCAAGATTGTAAAATTCTAGTTAATTATTTTATGTGTACAGTTATTTAGGGAATGTCATTGATGTTCATTTCCAAGCCAACTAGACGCCGATTTTTAGATGATACGGTATAATTCTTACGTAAAATGTAAATAACATTAGACCAATTAAAACAAAGAAATATGAATTTCTTAGTATTTTTAGTAACACCTTTATTCTTAAAACTTAATTTTGTATTATGCAAATATACCAATTTTATTGTTGTTTTATTCATATTGTATTCAGCCATCACTTAAATATATGATATTATTTTGGTATTATAAATAATCAACACTATTCATTAAAAATTACTGAACAAATATATTTTATGCTTGACATACATTATATATTATCAAACAAAAACACATTCTTCTTTTAAACTGTATCAGTCTTTACAAAAATCTTTTTTAAAATTTGAACTCAAAATAATAATCTATTTCATGATCTTTAATACACATATTCTTTATTTTTCCCTAGATCATAATACCTACTTACATGTTTGAATCTATGGAAGCTGAACCAACAACACTTGGAGTGGAGATTCCACAATATGAATAAAATAAACATAATTGTCCAGTTTTCATTAATACCATCATGGGAGAATATTATTTTTAAATTTATTAAAGATATTTTCAATAGGATTCTCTTGATTTATAACTCGTACCCACTTCTCTTGCTCTACTGGACACTTTAGGCTGCCTAGTATAACTATCCTTTCCACCAGGAACACAACAAAGATGAGGCATAGCACCAAAAACACACTCCACTTAAGCTTTATTGATGAATTGTTAGAGTCTTAAAAAACACACACAAAAATCACGATGAGTAAAAAATGTATGGGCACTTTTAGGTTAAATCACTTACACAACGTGTAATTTTTCAATTATTCTTTTTTTTTATGCGAAACCGAGAGTGACCATATATCTGGTAGTAGTTTATGTCACTTAAACACCAAAATAATTAGTTTTTTGTACTACAATAATAAATAATACCAAAAATCAAAGAGTTAAAACCAAAAATCAACCGACAAAATATGAAACGGAATCTAACCCAATACCAGATTATTTTCTTTATCTATGCCCAATACTCTGCCCAATATCTAAGTATGTACAGCTGATGAAGTAAACAAAAGTCCGCCCCGAGGCTGATCTTTTAATAGAAGGCACTGGTATAATCCAATTTTTTAATGTCATCAGTCACTGTCAACACTGTCAGCAGCTGTCAGTCATCTATGGAGTGTAGAGGTAAGGAGAAATAACTCTTATGGGACTTTTATTGAAAAAGTGGTCACAAAATGGGAAGAATAAGGGTTCGCCAAATGACCACAGTGGCGCTAAAAACGCATAAATCTAAAAAATGAAAAGTAACCATTATGGAGGGCTTTAGACTCCATAGTAACCATAGATCAGAGAATAAAAATAAATATAACCAAACATTACCAAAAAAAGTTTGTTTTTATTTTTTAGAATATAAAATAATTGTTTATCAATATTTTGTGCTTTATTTATTATTTAACAATGGTTAAAGTGTGTGTGTGGTGCGAAGTTGATTGAATAGCTGATGGAAAAATAAAGAACCAAAGACAAAGCCTGTAAAATACATAATTATAATTCAGTATTGTATTATTTGTATTATATATAAAAATTAGAGTCAATCAAAGAAGTGTAGTAAACATTTTTCGTTAGATTATTGACATACATGTTACAAAGTATATTTTTACAATCCTTTCTATAAAGTTACAACCTGAATAAAATTTATTTTTAATGATTTTAAAGTTTGACAGACATGCACAAATTGTTGGCATTTTTATAAACAAATAAAAGTAGGAAATAAATAAAGTTGTAGGTACTTTCAAAAAATATAGTTAACTGTAAGTGCTGTATTTTAATAATCTATCAAAAATCAAAATCATCAGAATAATATTAGGTATTGATTTTCAGACAAGAATTAGATTACAGCGATGGTCAAAAGCATTTAGATATTGCTTTGAAATCTACAGATAAGATATGGCAGTTTCATTATTTTAAAGAACAAGTTTATGATAAAATTGTCATCAGAAATACTGTCCACTTGCAGTATTTACATAGGAAAATATTGGAGGATGAAGCTCTACCTACTGCCTCAGGTTAATTTAAATTCTGAGTTGCAACAACAGCAACAAGCAAGAAGGGCACCATTAAATGAATATTATACACATAAGTATTATTATATACAAAGAAAGAGTAATGTTATACACATAAATATTAACATTTTGTAGAGCAACAACAGAATAAAAACCAAAATATGAACACCAGCAACTAAAACAGGAACCATTAAATGAATATTATATACGTAAGTACAATTTGGATTGAATAAAAAACAGCGTCAGCGATGCCTATGAAATGAAGATTGCTGTCATTTTATATGTAAAATGATATGGAGAATGTCATCGAGATGTTCATTTCAAGCCAACTGCACGCCGTGTTTTTTCAATCATACAGTATTATTATACACATAAATAGTAATATTATACACATAAACATCCCTTGATAGAGATCAGCATTTTGTAGAGCAATAACAGCATCAAATAATGGAAATAATGGACCTTATTGCACAAATCAAAAACAAAATTTCAGCATTACTACTTTATTGGTTATATCAATAAAAGAAATTGAGTTTATCAGTCTAGATCCTACAAGCAAGCAGATCTATCACATAATTTTAAATGAAGATTTATCTATTATAGTATGTATAAACACTTTGCATCTTTTATTCAATGTTGTAATGAATTAACAAATTCCAGGTAATTTATTCTAATAACGAAAAAAAAAACTTTAGACCAAAAAATATTTTCTTCTGATGAGGTTTATGGATATTACAGTCTGTTGAAGTTTGGCCATTATGTGTTGGTATACAATTTATTTATGATGTTACAGTAGTTAAACCATCCGAGTACAAAACATGTTTAAAATCCACTATTCTTAATGAATGGAAACTACCAACTTGAGAGGAAGCTAAGAGAAAGGTTCTATTGGGTGGACTACAAGGAAAAGGGATATACATGAGGATCTGGAAGGGTTATAACATTACGCCCCTCAAGCCGTGGGACAATAGGAAACGAAATTCAAAGGAAAATATTACAATACGGATGCAAATTATAGTGCAAAGGATTGAGAAAAAAGAATTATTAAAAGTAGTTATTGTTTACGATAGTTAAACCATCCGACTACCAAATATATTAAAAATCTAATTATTCTGAATGAATAGCAACTACCAACTTGGGAGGAAGCTGCGAGAACGATTCTATTGGGTGAACACACAAGGAAGACATGAGGATCTGGAAGGGCTATAAAATTATATTATTCCACGTCCCAAGCCATGCAAGCCATGTTGGAATAGCTGGGAGTGAAAAAAGAAGATAATCCTGCACACGATTCTTGTCTAGAAGTAGTTGATATTAAGGTAAGTTAAGCTTCATCAGACTATCGAACATTTAAAATCCACTATTCTGAATGAATGGTAACTACGATGGCAAAACGTAAATAAATACTTGTACAGTATAAAAATTATATTATATTGGCTTAATTTTTTATACTAAATAAAATGTGTTACGTTATTTTTGACCTGCATTATATTTATTTAAATCCTGTATCATCAATTAAACTTTAAATAAAGTTTTCCTAATTATAATTAACATTAATTTTAAACTAAAGCTTTTTTTTCATCTTGAATGAGATTTACTGAAATAACTTATGAGAAAAAATAAAAAAAAGAGGCTCAGTCTATTGCTTCTGAATAATTGATAATAAAACCACATGTTGACTTACTTTTTATACTAAATAAATGTAGGTATGAAGTTATTTTAAAGCTGCATTATATTTATTTTAAACCCATCACCAATTATTACTTTAAATAATTTTTTTCTTAATTATAATAACATTAATTTTAAGGTTAAAACGATCAGAATAATGTTTTCGTCGTCTTGAATGACATTTGCGAAATAACTTATGAGAGCAATAAAAAAGAGCCTAGTTTATTGCTGCTGAATAAAAATCTGTAATTTATTTCATGTGACATAAAAAATAAATTTGTATTTTTTTGAAACCCGCGGCTTCACGTATATGATTCACGTCAAATGTCTTTTGAATCAGCTGTTCTAAAAATGTTCGGCGCATGTCTTAAATTTTAGGTTTTTGCTACAGCAGCGCCATCCTAATTCTTCCCTTTTTTTGACCATATTTTAATCAGCGTTGCCAATCTTTGTGGAATTCCACAAAATGTGTGGAATTCGTAATAATGTTGTGGAACGTTTGTGGAATAGAATAAATGTGGAATTTTGTGGAATTTTCGGAATTATTCCTTTCTTTCTTCTTTTTTTCCTTATTTAGCTAATAGTAAAAAAAACATTATAGGACTCATCATAATTTTACAGATTTCTGTAAAAAGAGCGTCGCCGTCGAGGTCAGCAGCTAGGTTTGGTATTTAGATCTGCAAGCAATCCGACGAAATTTTCGACATATCACATATCACACGTCACTATATAATGTAAAATCCCTTTAAGATCACGTGGTTTATATAAAAAAAATGTCGGATTGGTCGCAGACAGGGTTCGGAAGTAGTTAATTAAGACGTAATTTACCTGATTAACTACGTGTAGTTTTTCTTAAAAAACTACGTCTTTTCCCGTTCATTAACTACATGAAAACTACGTTAATAAACTATGTATTGATATTACGAATAATTTTCCTTTGTATGAGGTGTAATAGAGATAATATGATGTAAATATTATATTCAAAGCCATATTTCTTCTGTTTTCTTAAATACATTATGTGTTTTTAAAGCTTCAATAACCTCACCTCAAACCTTTGACATTTGAAAGTTACATCAGAGGTTACATATAGGTTACATAAACTACACCCTCTACATAAACTAATAAACTACATTAACTATATGTAATGTAGTTTATGTGTCTCTACTAAGAACACGGAGGGGCGCTTTGACCCAAAATTTTACTATTAAGTTTCATATCTATCTTAATAGAAGATTATTTTCTTTTATCTATGCCCAATACTGCCCAATATCTAAGTATGTACAGCTGATGAAGTAAACAAAAGTCCGCCCCGAGGCTGATCTTTTAATAGAAGGCACTGGTATGATCCATTTTTTAATGTCATCAGTCACTGTCAACACTGTCAGCAGCTGTCAGTCATCAAAGTCCTGTGTCATGTCCTGTGTGTGGTCCTGTGTGAGTCGGCAGTTCGCGGAAAAGTACTTTATTTATTTAGTTCGAATTCGGTTTTTTTATGTACCGATTAGTTTATGTGAACTAAATAATATCCACCCCCATGGTTTATGGAGGCTCAATATATTATGATTTTTATTTCAGTGTTTTTAACGGTCAGATATATTGATTAGGTGGCGCGTAATTTGAAAATACTCTACTAAAATGTCTAGTCTCGACATGTTGGAAGATGATAAAGACGAAGACTTGGAAGACGGTGAAATTCTTTCAGACTCCCAGTTAGAAAACCTGATAGAGCACACGAATAATCATAGTATATACCGCAACTTGTCTAAGGACTTTCAGGACATGATGAACGATAAGCAAACATTAAGATCATGCATAGATAGTTTTTTAAATCATAGAATGGACGAACTGACTCTGGGCGTTATATTTGATATGCACCGAAAATACAAGACGAATGTGTTTTATCTAGAAATCGATAGCAGCGACGAAAAAAACAAAGATGATTATAATAATCAGCTTGATACTTTGGACTGTATTTGCCCTACGTGCCAGAAGCCCATATCTAGTATAGGCTACTCTATATATACATTCACTACACATTTAGACAAATGCATGGGTATTCTATTTTTTACCTTTGTATACAGTTTTTGTTGTTAACTATCGACAAATTTGATTTAAGGTTTTAATTCAAAAGCAGCTCGAAGATCAAGATCTCTAAGAAGTTCTTTAAGAGTTACAAACGATAAGGAGAAAAACCATAACTCTTTGTATAGTGAAATTACAACTAGTGATAATGAAGATGATGCTCACTCCAGTACAGGCAACAAGAAAAAGAGATATAGGAAAAAGAAAGAAGTTAAGAAGAAAGGAAAGGAAGAAGGGAAATCAGAAAAAAATAAAGGTAAAAATAAAAATTGTTATGACTATATGATTATTTTTATGGTTAAGTAAACGATTATATTTTTTTATCTCACTATGTGATATCCCATCGGTTGCTGGTTGCTTCCTTTGAATAAGAAGACTAAGGAAGGAGCATATCAAAAATCTTAGGTACACCGCGATGGGCCTCAAATATGGCCGACTTAAATTCCGGTTTATCAGTGTCGTTCTAATTTTATTTAAAAAATGTAAAACTATGATGTAGGGTAGACGTGGGGTAGACTCAATAATTTGTTGTTTTATTTTACGTTGTGAATAAATGTTGGTAGTTATTAAAATTGTTATAAAATATATAATTCTAATAAAAATAGATAAGTTATAATAAGTATTTATTAACACAAACATCCGATACGCTACTGAAGCATGTAAGTCAAATTAACGTATCTAAATTCTTTGACATCTAATCTTTGACAAGCAATAAATAAAAGCTAAAAATGCAAGAAAAATATATAATTTAGTTAATTTAAGTGAATTTCATAAATGATCGGTTTACTACACGTATGTATATTATATAGTCACTTACTAGCGAAAAGTTGTTCCATTATTTCACTCAATTTTTGCCGAGATCTACCGCACGCTACACAACCAACTATTTTAGAGTCTTTTTCGATAAATCGCGATAGTGTCACTGTTAATTTAACTTCTGCCACAATTTCCATCTAGATTTACTACCTTTATACAACTATCAGTAGTAGAATAAATAATAAATAACATAAAATAAGTCGTAAAGACTGACAAATCCACAAAATTTCAAATCAAATTCAAATGTGTCAAATGAATCGTCAAACAGAACTGTCAAGGATCCCCACCCTAGAGAGCTTTTATGGTGGCTTTTCCGCCCACCATGCATGAGTACATGGATAGCACTATGCTCCTTCCTTAGTCTTTTTATTCAAAGGTTGCTTCAAAAAGATTTAATATACAAGGTGGCGCCTCTCATACGACACGGAAGCTCCATGGAGAAATTAAATTTTGGGAGCATATGTAGGTTAATTGAAAGCATTTTATAAAAATATATAGAGTTCTACAGGGTGTCCCCAAAAAAAGTTACGCATGAAAGTTGGGTTTTTTGTAATGGAACACAACTGTATATTAATTAATTTTCGTATTCTAGGAAAAAAATAAAGGTGTGTTTTATTAAAGAAGCATATGCCTAAATTGCAAGGATTGTGACATATTTCAGATTTTGTGAAAATGAGGAATAAATTTAAATTTCAATAACAGCTACCTAAATTGTAATTTACCCTTTATAGTCTGATATTTAATTACAATAACCATTGTATGTTAAACCAAATTAAAATTTGTCCCGAAAAGTTATATAGGGTGAGACAAAATTAATATTGAGCATTGGCCACTTTTAAAAGCAGTTTTAGTGACTCCTTTATTTTAAATGGAACTCCCAGTATGTTATACCGGTATTCAATGGAGAATTCATATATCTTTAAAATACTATTAAGGCTTTGAATAAGAAGACTAAGGAAGGAGCATATCAAAAATCTTAGGTACACCGCGATGGGCCTCAAATATGGCCGACTTAAATTCCGGTTTATCAGTGTTCTAATTTTATTTAAAAAATGTAAAACTATGATGTAGGGTAGACGTGGGGTAGTCTCAATAATTTGTTGTTTTATGTTACGTTGTGAATAAATGTTGGTAGTTATTAAAATTGTTATAAAAATATATAATTCTAATAAAAATAGATAAGTTATAATAAGTATTTATTAACACAAACATCCGATACGCTACTGAAGCAGGTAAGTCAAATTAACGTATCTAAATTCTTTGACATCTAATCTTTGACAAGTAATAAATAAAAGCTAAATGCAAGAAAAAATATATAATTTAGTTAATTTAAGTGAATTTCATAAATGATCGGTTTACTACACGTATGTATATTATATAGTCACTTACTAGCGAAAAAGTTGTTCCATTATTTCACTCAATTTTTGCCGAGATCTATCGCACGCTACACAACCAACTATTTTAGAATCTTTTTTGATAAATCGCGATAGTGTCACTGTTAATTTAAGTTCTGCCACAATTTCCATCTAGATTTACTACCTTTATACAACTATCAGTAGTAGAATAAATAATAAATAACATAAAATAAGCTCCGTAAAGGCTGACAAATCCACAAAATTTCAAATCAAATTCAAATGTGTCAAATGAATCGTCAAACAGAACTGTCAAGGATCCCCACCCTAGAGTGCTTTTATGGCGCTTTTTCCGCCCACCATGCATGAATACATGGATAGCATTATCACAGATTATACAGATTATAATCTTTGGTTTTTCTTTATTGTTTTTCGTGGTTCCAATTTTCGGAATCGGGCACTAGTTAGGTGACTAGTTTGCGCACATAGCACGCCCACTTATGGCCTCTAAAATTGTGCACAGCGCCTGACCGGCACAGTTATTAGAGAGATATCGGAAAACCGAATAGCGTCATCCAGTATTTACGCGTACCTTATCATGGTTACGATATGCGCGAGTCAATTTTTAACACAACACCCGCTATTAACGTTACCGCCTGACGTAATTTGCGGATCAATTACATCAAGTGCTCTTTCTAAATAACCTCTGACAACGTTTAAAAATTGCTTAAATGGGCATGTACGGGTATTTGACAACCGGAGCCGGCCGGCGAGATCTTTTATTTTAGGTTATGTTTGAATTGTTTTGAATTATTGCTTTAGTTTTATTAGGTAATTTGATATTTAAATAGCTGGGATTAGTTTTAATTAAATAAATATGGCCCAAAATATGGATTCCTCCTCTTCCAATACTAAAGAACCTATAAAGAGTCTTAGGTTTACAGCAGATGACGACTTAGCCCTTCTAAGAGAATTTGTTGCTTGTTGCCCTGAACCATGGAAATAAGCACTTTAGCCCTTTAGTTTTAAAATACCTAGTAAACAAAACAATTTCAAAGTTTTAAATTTAAAGTTAGGTTAAGTTTAAATAGCGGACGCGACGCAATCAGAATTCTTTCCGATCCGATAACTATAAATGAAGAGAGTTAATACCACCTCACGTAAAGGAAATAACACCTGGCCTTATTAACGTCCATCCACGCTATTCGGTTTAGCGATATCTCTCTATTACGCTGTTTATTGTTATTTTGCGCGAGTTTATTTTTGCGCACAGGAAATTTGACTCGTTTGCACATCGTCATAAAAAACAATTTTCGTACCACGAATTAGGGACAAGATTTTTATCTGTATACTTATAGGATACCTAATCTGTGGCATTATGCTCCTTCCTTATTGTCTTCTTATTCAAAGTTATTGTCTTCTTATTCAAAGTATTAAGGTTATCTACCCCTTAGACAAAGATTTTCCTAGATATTTTCATTTTTATGATTTTGCCTCAGTAGATCTTTATTATTTGATAAAATCTAGGTGGCTGTGATATACGTTTTGTTAATTTAACAAAAATCAAAGGATGTAGAGTGAAATACTCAACGGTACTAAAAAGATATACCTTTAAAACATATTTTAATTATAACAGAATTAAAACTAGATATAAGCGTATTATTATGACACACAAATTAGCTAGATGAAATCAAATACCCAATATGTTTCCTTTCCTGTACATACACTGCATAAAATCAGTGGCGGACTAAGCCTGTCGGTGGCTCGGGGCGGCGAAGCTAAATGTGGCCCCCGGTCTGTTTAGATAATTATATACTTCTAATGCACATTTTGTAAAAATTGAATGACGTATGTATAATGGTTGACAAAATTCAAGTATTTATACAGGGTGTCCCAGGCTGAGCGTGCGTTAGAAGTTTCTAGAGAACTACAATATCTAGATATGCGATTTTGTGCATATCATTGTTTCACAATGAGATCTATCGGTTAAAAATATTTTCAATATGGCGGCACTTTCGGAAGTACCGGAAGTTGACAGCAACTTTCTTATTTTAAAAGGGTGGCCCCATTTTTTATTACATACATAAATTCTCTGTAAAATTTCATGAATTTTGATATTAAACGTTTTTGAGAAAAAAAAATATTTATAATTTTTGGAGTAAAAAAACTGCCTGTCAAAAATATGTATTAGGGTATATATCATATAGCTATCGTCAAATATATATAAATAGATATATAATATCGTCATATCATTATCGTCAAATTTAGTGATTGCCAGAGCCACTGTACCATAAAGAGAAGACATGTGGCTATCTATGTCAAAAATTAAATTGTCCGAATGTCATATAATAATGGCCGCAGCTGTAGTGGAATTGAGCGATTAAAAAATTATCATAAATCATTTTTTTTCTAATGGAAATCCACTTTTTTTTTCACGAATTTCACTCGTGAAAAGGCTTTCGTTACTTTCGTTTTAAAAATTTGTTACTTTTTGACTTTTTGAATACATGTTCCTGTACCTAAAATAAATCGTTTTTAAGTTATTTAAGATTTAGCTTTAAAGCGTATATTTTTCTTGATTTTAACCAGTAGCCTATGACAGTATATTATCGATCATCATTTCTAAGCTAACTTTGCGCTGTTTTTTTTTCGATCGTACAGTATATTATTAAAATATGAACTATTAGATATCACTAAAGAACGAAAATACGAAATATAATTATATAAATACACTTTTTAAACTTTTAAGCAGCAGTAGTTATAATATAGGAAATTCAAATAATTCATTTTCTGACAGATGAAAATAAATTGTCTGACTCAAGACAAAATTGTCTAAAAATCAAGAAAAATATACGTTTTCAAACTAAATCTTAAATAACTTAAAAACGATTTATTTTAGGTATAGGAATATGTCTAGTCAAAACGTAATGAATTGGAAAAACTTTGCACTAATGAAATAAAAGAAGTGGGTTTCCATTTGAAAAAAAATATTTCTGATAATTTTTTAGTCGCTCAATTCCATGACAGCTACCGCCATTATTATATGACATTTGAACAAGTTAATTTTTGAAATAGATAACCACATATGTCTTTTCTTTATGTCACAGGGGCTGTGATAAACACTAAATTTGACTTATAGGCTGTACAAATTTTTTTGACTTTGAAATATTTTTTCTTAAAAATGCTTCCAGGGAAATACAGCGACAAAACATCCCGATTTTGTAAGTCCCCCAAGATCCGAGAGGCCCCTTCGCTGTTTCAGGCCCGTGGCCTCCGTTATACTAAAGACTTCACTGATCATCATCAGTAATGAAGCTAGAATACAAGTTATGCTGTGCATTTGTTGTAATTTAAAATGTTTATTCAGTAAAAATAAATAATGAAAAATAACTGAAAAGCTAAAATAAATAAATTCAGTCTCAAAATATATAAAAAATAATAATTATTCGATATTTTAAACAAAGAAAATTACCCCTTGATTTAATTTACTAAATAGAAAATGCCATTGACAATTACTGGGGCATGATAATTGATAATTAAGTAAATATCTGCTTCCATTTATACTGTTTATAGATGGCGTATACGTATGGTTTGCATACTCCACCTACAAACTGCATTATAACTACTGAACACATATTGCCCTTGTTTGCCAGTTGAATAAAAAATTACTTATTAAGATACGGAGGCCCCCTAAAAGACGGGGCACGGGGCGGACCGCCCCTTTCGCCCCCCCTTAGACCGCCACTGCATAAAATGATTCTCTTTTCAACACTTTTCATCTTAAAAGCATATGTAAATTATGATTTTACAATCAGCTTATTGGAGGTCATCGAAAGATCGATATAAGATAGTATAATAGAAAAATTATGAGAAATAAAACTAGTTTTCAAAAATGTTAAATATACTCGGAATTCCATTTAAAATAACAGATATGCTACTGTGCTTTTTTAAACAACGCGGCAACACTATGTCGCTGTAAATAATTTAGATAGATGGAGCAGCTGCCTTTTTGAAAAAAAACTAATTTTGAAAAAAAATCGGTTTTCCATAAAGGTCTAACCAATACAGGGTGTGCCAGGCTGAACGCGCATTAGAAGTTTCTAGAGAACTACAATATCTAGATCGGATATTTTTTGCTCATCGTTGTTTCACAAAAGAGATCTACCAATTAAAAATATTTTCAATATGTCGGCACTTCCGAAAATACCGGAAGTTGATAGCAACTTTCTTATTTTAAATTGGTACTCCCATTTTTATTATATATTTAAATTCTTTATATAATTTCATGAATTTTTATATCAAACACTCTATCCCTAACAATAACCGTTTTTGAGAAAAAAAAATTTAAAATTTTTGGAGGAAACAAACTGCCTGTCAAAAAAAATGTATAGCCTAAACGTCAAATATAGTGATTACCACAGCCACTGTGACATAAATAGAAGACATGTGGCTATCTATTACAAAAATTAAATTGTTCGAATGTCATATAATATTGGCCATAGCTGTAAATCAATTGAACGACTGAAAAATTATCATAAATCGTTTTTTTCTCAAGGTTTATTTTAGGTATAGGAACATATACTAAGGGCTGGCAAAGGTTAGTCTTGGGTCGAGATTTCCGTATGTAAGAAGAGTACAATGCGTTTATAATTTACTGAACAAAGAGAGGACAGTAAACACGTTGTCAAACGTATGAAATAAACCGAGAAACTGTGCACATCGCTAAGAGACGTGGAAGGGGATATAGCATATTTGTCGCAGTTGACCGATCGACCCAATCAATACCTCTGTCAGTACTTAAAGTTCTAGGAAAAGGTGTACGTCATGCGTTTAGCTTCACGATTTAATTACGTCTCGTGATACTTAATTTGTTTATTTATTAACAAGCTAGAAACACTTGCATTTTTGGTAAAAATAAGTGGAATTGAGTGGGTGTTCGATAGTGGTCGCGCTACTAGAACTCTGAATTCAAAAATCGATATATCGAAATCTATTAGAAATAATAGATTGTAGTTTTTTCAAGAACTTTCTTAATATATCTGCTGTATTTTCTTTGTAGACAGTATGTGAAAATCTTTATTAATAAAAAAATTACACAATTGCTGAAAATTGCTATGCTCTAAAAGTAAATGGATGGATTGTTTACAATTTTTGAATGTAAAAAACAACCTTATCGAATTTTTCTTATGTAAACATATTGTAAAATATCCGATCTTGAAAATAAAAAAAAGTTTCAATATCTAAAGTGGTTCTTGAGTTATGGCCTGTTATGTGTTAAAAAGTTGAGTTTTTAAATTATCGCGATTACTGACGTTTACTCGTTATAAAAAAAATGACACCCTAACGATATCCTTATAATTCCATTTCAGATGCTCAGAAACATGTCTAATGATTTTATCTAGTTATCTCTTGAAAAAAAGTTTTTTAAAAACAAGCGGTTTGCGATCGTGATTTTACTTTACTTGATAGGGAAAGGCGTATCGGCAACGCCGCAACAGCACACCGTCGCGCGTCGCGTCGGTCGCATTTCTCTCACTCCGATTTAATAAGATCCCTATGCGATTTACTTCCACACATGTAAATGCCGACCCAAAAGTAACAGTTGCCAGCACGGTATAATCAAAAAGTAACAAATTGAAAATCCTTTTCTCTAATAAAATAAAAAAGTAGGTTGTCTATTTAAAAAAATAAGATTTATGATAATTTTTTAATCTTATCTTTACAATTTAATTTTTGAAATAGATAGCCACATGGCTTCTGTTTATGTCACAGTGGCTGTAGTAATCACTAAATTTGACGTTTAGGCTATACCATTTTTTTTGCAGGCAGTTTTTTTCCTCCAAAAATTTTAAATATTTTTTTTACTCAAAAAACGGTTAATATTAGGTATAGGGTGTTTGATATTAAAATTCAGAGAGTAGTAGTAGTAGAATTTTACCGAGAATTTTTAAATATATAATAAAAAATGGAGGCACCCATTTAAAATAAGAAAGTTGCTGTCAACTTCCGGTATTTCCAGAAGTTCCGCCATATTGAAAATATTTTTAGTCGATAGATCTCGTTATAAAACAATGGTGTGCAAAAAATCTCCGATCTAGATATTGTAGTTTTCTAGAAACTTCTAATGCCTGTTCAGTCTGGGACACCCTGTATACCTCCACTATAGTATAGTTGTTCAGCAGTTAATTTTTCTTAAAGCCACCTATTGATTGTCTGACTTGTATTTTACTTGTGTACTTCGTGATCGAAAAAAAAAACGGCGTCAGCGATGGCTATGAAATGAAGATGGCTGTCATTTTATATGTAAAAGTATAAGGGGAATGTTATCGATCATCATTTCCAAGTCAACTGGCGCACAATTTTGGTACGCTTTAGAAAGAATCGAAAATAACTATATATTTTTTTGTAGTTGAAGTTGTAGTTGAAGATGAAGACGAATATATGAAACTCCAACACTTGCTTGAGTTTCCAGATAAATGCTTAGAAAATACATCATCATCATCCAAAGGAGTTTCAGCATCTAAAACGCCAAAAAAACGAGATAAGTCTAAGAAAAAGAGCAGGGGTAAGGATTCCCCTAGTATGGTGCTTGATTAAGAACATACGAGATAGTAAAATAAAACACTAATGTACCACAATACACCAAAACACTTTACTTTTGCACTGGACGCGCGTTTCGCTAACCATGTTAGCATCATCAGCAGATGATTAAAACTAAACTAATATCTACAAATTAAGCGTTTTTATGGGCGTTCGCAGTTGTTTGATTGTATGGTACAGAAAGACCTTTGAAATAGTTAATTCGAAAATTTCGGCTTATAAAAAAACGAAATTTTTATTAGTAGTGATTTTATTGGAATATTAAATACCTTGCTATGATGAAGTGAAACTGAATATTAAATGTCTAATATCTGTAATTTTTAATTTAATGTTTCTATTATACTTTTTCATGGAATATATTATAGGTACATGTTATGGGTGCTTAATGTATATCTCATTTTTTTTTATCAAATTTTAATTAATTTTAGAATCAATTATAGAAGTAATCAATTTATTTTAGAATTTTATATACTTAGTTGGATACTTTTTATTTGTAGTTGTTTTAGTAAGATAATAAACTGACTGTCTATTACTATAATAGGGGTTTCATTGTTTTTAATAAAAAATAGAAGAATAAATTAAATAGATTTTGTCTAAAACATTAACAATAACAATATCAAAAAATTATAAAAATGTGGCACAGTATACTTTAGCCTTAAGATGCAACAGGAAGCGTCGGCCATACATACCAAAATAAGCAACGTGTTTTGTCAATACGTCTTTTTTATTTATCGTTACACTTATTTTACGGCCCCACGTTGGGCATCAAAAATAACGTTGTTGCTCACTTACACTGAAATAAAGTGTCTGCGATACTTCTGTATTATTGTATACCAAGTAGTTGTTTTCTCTTTTTGTTATCTACCACTGGCAACAGTCTTCGAGCTGTAGCGCAATCTTCACGGTGTTGCTACGTCTCTTGCAGCTTGGCCTTGATGGTAGTTCCTATAGCTTCCTTCAGCGTGTTCATCGTCAAATGTGGTGGATCATCTGTCGCTGCCTCTCCCCTAGTCCAGCCTGGGATCCAGTACAGAGTGGCCGTGCCTTGGCGCAGCCGGGACGGTGCTTCTTAATAGTCACAGTTTTCGCCGTAAAGCGCCGAAGCTGTCAGAGTATATCACGATATCTCCTACCGGTCTATCAGCGATTTTTCCTTGTATACAACTGGTCTCTTCCTTTATAACGTAAACCTCTGCTTGTAGAACATTACAGCCATCCGATAGCCTTAGATATTGTCGGATGTCTAGTTCCTCTAAGAAGGTGCCTGCCTATACCTGCGTCTCCTGAAGTCACGGAAGCATCTGTGTAGATTGATATCTCTTGAGTATTCATTACTAAGTGGCTTTCCCATTCTTCTCTTGTTGGGATGCGAATCCTTATCTTTTCTCCAAAATCATGTTTGGTGTGGATATAGTCCGTTTTCTGGTCTAGCAGATGTTCCCCATGATTTTCCTTATCATTGACAATATCCTCGAGTGACCGTTGTTTACCTTAACGTTGACACCCTTATCGAAAATTGCTTCTAGTGCAGCTTGCGATGTTACGTTAACTAAACTAAATAAAAATGTTTTAACAGGAAAATTGGAAATAGGAAGTTCTAGGTCTATATCATCACTCACAAGTTGCACGAAGGGGAATAAAAAAAAACCTAGGCGAATAATAATATCTTTATTTACTTTTTGCTTGATTTATTTTATTATATCTCCCTATTTTTATTAAAATTAATGATTGTATGGTTTTTAGTATATAGTTTTTAACATTGTTTTAAATTTTAGGCATATATTCCTTTAAAAATGTAATTGACTTAACATTATAACTATATTCTAATTGATATCATCAACAATAATAAAAAAATCACTCGTAATAGCTGTAATAACACTATACAAATCTTCATTACTCTCTATATATACAGATAAATTATAATATTCTCTATGATTATTTTAGAATTATTCTACACTTTACATAATGTTGCGGACAAATTCTTGTTATAAACGATAAAATAAAAATGTTTTTCAGGTAATTATACATTAAATAGTAATATTGAGTAAAAGAATCCCATTATATCTATCAGATTTTTAGTTTAAGAATTTCACTCAAATAAGAACTTACATACATTTCTTTAAGAATCAGTTTTTTTTATTGCTGTGTATTAATAATTAATTTTGATATCTAGGTACTTATAATTATTATAGGTAGTATTGTATTTTATTTTTTCTTTTATAAACACAGAATTTGTCCTATAAATAAATTTAACAAACAAATTTCAACATTTTGTGAAAATCAATTGGCACTAAATTATATTTATCAAGTAATACACAAAATTAAAGTAGTCTACACGAAACCTTTGGTCGTTTTTTATATATTATATACAATATTTCTTTAAAATGCAAAGAAAGTAAAGACTATATTAGTTCATAAAAGCAGAACACCTTTGAGAGTTTGAGATTCATTTTATGCTAAATTGGATTTAATTTTTTTGAGTAACTAAAATTAGAACTCTTTTTGAAATGCGATGTGCTTGAAGAAGAGCTGAAGAAAAATACTTTTTATTTTGTTTTCTTTATTATATACCTATATATTTTTTGTAATATTAAATTTGATTGTTTACTATAGAAAAAATGTATTCAAGATTATAAGGCTACTAAAGCTTTATGTATGATCCAAGAAATGAAATTGGAAAGCTATATTTTTAGTCTTCTAAAATTTTTTATGTACAATAATATAGAGTCTAGGAATTAAGTACCTATGTCCATGATTGTTCTGATTTCGTACAAGTCTCAAAATTTGGTTTTGTTTCCTAAAACAAATCCTGATGCATAGCGAACTCCAACGTCAAGTAATTTTCTTTGTGGAAAGGTTCGGATTCAAGGAAGCTTCCGCAGCATATTCTGTAGCTAATTCTGTAAAAAGCTCATATTGTAATAGCAAAACATTTTTCGATGCACGTCATCAATCATATCGACATTGAGACTAAAGTCTATAAACCTGACTAAATGAAATTTTGCAAAAATGTTTCAATTTGTTGTATAATTTAAGATTCCGAGCAGCTCTTCATTTTACTTTATAGAGCAAATTATTGTAACAGATATATTTTATTTAGATTAAAGTTGCAAAAATTACAGTTGAGGGTTGGAACCTTTGGTGTTACACAGCAAAATTAAAAACACTAAATCACCACAATACACCAAAACACTTTTACTTTTACAATGTAATATATATTCAGTTTATAATCATCTGCTGATGATGCTAACATGGTTAGCGAAACGCACGTCCAGTGTAAAAGTGTTTTGGTGTATTGTGGTGATTTAGCGTTTTTATTTTGTTGCAAAAATTAGTTTAAAAAGAATTATTAATATTATCGCTATGTGGGTCACATTGCGCCGTGTTCAGCAATGTTGTCCTTTATTATTTGGCAATTATCCTAGTGTCAGTCATTATTTTGTATAATATCGTGTTGTTTTTGAGCCTTTGTGAGTAATTCTCGTTTTTCCCCTATTTTCATAGTTTTTTTTAAATTGCACTTTTAAGCACAAACAGTTCTTTTAAGAACTAAATTTTCCAGTTTTTATATTGGTTTTTATTGAAATTGTGTGTTGAAAATATGCCGAAGCATTCAAACAGTCGAAGCAAAGAGCTTGTAGCTTCCCTGTTTTTTTTTAAACTTTGAACGAGAACGTGACAAAGGTCCTTTATTACCCTTGACTACAGTCAGAAAAGTAAGTTTGATTGATAAACACATTATACCACTTTCAAAGTTAGTTTTGAGTTAAAAAGTTAATTCTGTGATTATTAGTTGTGCATTAATAGCTCCCTCTTACTTGTTATTACCACTTATGGCGTTTGTAAGATGTACAAGGTGGGTCAAATTCGACGTTTTTAAATGGAAACACCCTTTTCTATAGGAGATAGGCAAAAACTAATATCGGTGTCTGGAGCTCAATTTTTGTCAAAAACATGATGGTGAAAACCGCATATCGATATCTGTTACCGTTTCGGAGTTACGGGGTGTTTTTCAAAAATATGCATTTTTAACTAATCGCTGTAACTTTTTTGCTATGGAAAATTTTGTATTTTTATGGAAACATTTCCAAAGCACCTTTTTACGTAGAATTTAATGGTTTGAGTATAATTTTTTTAAAATTAATAATTTAAGAATTATCAACAGAAAATTTGACTTTTTATATGGGACGACACCCTGTATATTTTTAATTTATTGAAAAGAATTTAAAATTACCTTTCCAAAAATATAACACACTTGATATTTTGCTCGATTCCTCTTCGAGATATAGAGTATATAAAAATTCGCCCGCTTTAAATAAGTATAGGCTTTGAACGGCACCGGCTGTAATGCAAAAAAATTCTAGCTGTGAGCATCAATTAAAACGAAAATAATATTTGCTATGAGAGATGCAGAATTTTATAACAATTTAAAATATATTTAACCAACATCAACACATTTAAACTATATCTAATAACAATAAAAATAAATAGCAAACCAAGACATGAGATTTTGCTACAGGTGTTTTTTTTTGTTTGGTTTTGGTTTGGTTTGCTACAGGTGTTCGACATATCGACCGTCTTTGAACATTTCTCGCGGAATTCATTAACTTAGTAGGGTGAAAGATACCCTCTAATAACTGCTAAGTATTTTTAATTCTTGTCTAGATTATACGGAAGAATAAGGAACCTTTATTCTTCGGCAAATATATCCATAGGATTAGATCCATGGGCACTAAGTCAGGCGGCCTCGACGGCCAACGGCTGGGATCTTAGTTAGCTATTCAATTATTCTTTAAATTGGCTGCAAAATTTGCTGATAACTTCAGTGTTCAGAGACGGTGCGTCGTCGTGCTGGAAAAATATGTTTTCGAGTTCCATTAAGGGCATATCATCAATAACGGGTCCAAAGCCTACTAGTTAAAGTGGCGAATTTTTTAAAAAGACAGTTTTTGCAATTTGAATATACCGCGTGGAAATTGAAAATCGGACAATTTGGTGAAGGAATCTTATAAATAGTTAGTTGTTGTGTGTTATAAGTTAGTAATTGTGTATAAAGTGAGAAAATAAATTCGTTAAGTATTTTATCGTGAGTTTAAATTAGTGGACCCACGGAATCCGTAACATTATTAATTTTAAAAAAATATACTTAAACCATTAAATTCTACGTAAAAAGGTGCTTTGGAAATATTTTTATAGAAATACAAAATTTTCCCTAGCAAAAAAGTTACAGCGATTTGTTAAAAATGCACATTTTTGAAAAACACCCCGTAACTCCGAAACGGTAACAGATATTGATGTGCGGTTTTCACCATCATGTTTTTGATGAAAATTGAGCTCCAGACACCGATATTAGTTTTCGTCAATATCCTATAGAAAAGGGTGTTTACATTTAAAAGCGTCGAATTTGACCCACCCTGTACGTCAATAAATAAATAACCCATAATAACGCTTATACTAATCTTCATAATGGACTAGTTTTTGCCAATATGTAATAAGTAAAATAAGCTATAAAACAAATAAATCAATTAAGCACCAGAATATTAGTTATTAAATTAAAACTGAAACGTAAAACTTTTTAAAAAATGATATAAGAAATATGTTGTTTGTCAATTTTAAATTAAGATTCGTCTCATAAATTCATCACAATCTGGCAGCGCTGTCGCCATCGATTGTTACTCAAAGTTGATCACGTGCATCGGAAATTGTTTTGCGATTACCATATAAATTTATGTTGTATAATGCTTTGTTTCGTGGATACAGGGTGTAGAAGTTTCATTTTCATTTCGATTTCTTCCTAATAATTTCTGAACTAACGCCGATATTTGGATGAAAATTGATGTCCGGGTGTTTTTTGATATGAGGAATTCGATTTCGGTGTCAGTATGACTCATACTTGTAGGGGGCGCCACTTGCACATTCTTTAGCTGTTTTGAAGAGTAATAACCTTTCGTCCGTACCTGTCTTACATTACAGAGTGAAGAAATATGCATTTCCGTCATTTTTTACGTAAAAAATGTCTCCTGGTAAAAATCGCTAGGAGTAATAGTTCTCAAGATATTTGGAATCGAAATAGTCAATACATGTGACAATTAACAAAACATTATACAGGGTGAGTTTCCTACGATGTTCTCTATGGGTATCTCGGAAACTATAGAAGATAGAGAGTCGGTTAAATGAGGAAAGAATTGCAGTTTTGTGGGGTCATAAATATGCGCCTTTCAGATTTTTGAAGTAGTTCATGGCTTACTAGATATTTCGAAAAAAACAAATTTTGGCTATTTTAAAAATTGTTCCTAATTTTATTATAATCTATTTTAGACAAAAAAATTTCAGATAAAAATTGTAGACAATCACGTCTCTAATGAGTTTGTGTTCTGCGATTTTTTTTAAGCCTGTCATTTTTGACATATGACACACATATGTTTTTTTTAAATGGAAACGATAGTTGGCCATGGCTTCATAAAAAGCGCCATTTTTAAAGCTTTTCAGCGATTTAAGCTATAATATGCTTTTTTCACAAAATTACTGAGTTATAGCCAATTCTTATCTTTCTTGACTAATTTCACTTAGTGAGCCATGGTAACAAGTTCAATCGTCGTTGCTCTTAGAAATGTGAAACTGTCACATCCAAATTTTGTAAATTCAAATAAACAAAAATTACAAAAAATTATTTTCAAAAGTTACTGAGTTATAGCCAATTCTTATCTTTCTTGACTAATTTCTCTTAGTTGGCATGGTGGTCTTATTTTGTTATGATTTATAACTTATAAAAAGACAAAATATATTATTAAACGACTCTTTACAATTTACATTACACAAATAAAAATTTAAAAAAATAGTATCACTACATACACTTTCAGTTGTTTTAGAAAATTTTCAAAAAATCCGCCATTGTTTTGAGTACATAAATGCATCATATTAAAAC